TAGAGTGTAACGTGCAGAATTTAGCATATTAGTAAGAAAAGCTCCAGTTTAAACATTAATGTTTTTGTCTTTTATCCAAGTGGATCCAGAATCTGGGAGACCTTGTGTGGATTTTCTAGATAACTTTAACAAATGGAACACTAACTTCACAATGACTACTATTCTACTTACTATCCAGGTAAGAACGAATGATACAAACTTTTTTTTTTCTTAATTTTCTTTTGTTTATGGGAGAAGTAGACTTGGTTTATTTTTGTAATACTAGGAACTTCACAGCAGCATAAGCTCACACAAGGCATTTGCACTAATCCAGTAAAATTGTTATTTTTTTCCCTTAGTTTCCTTTAGTTCTTTTCATAAGTTACTTTTGAGGTTCCCAGTTCTAGTTAACAGTTTGTCAGATCAGTAGGACTGAAGACAAAAAAACATTCTTCTTCCTTGGACCCACACAGAGTATGCAATTCTTTAAATTCTAATTAAAGAATTTTTTTTTAAAAGAGAGTCATGATGTAACTTTAGAGCGAGAGAGATTAAATGAAGAATATTAGAAGCCCCTTCTTTGCCCTTTTTTCTTTCTTTTCTTAATTTTTTTGCTTTGCCATTGCTTGCTTGCTTTTTTCTTTTTCCCAGCTTATTAACTATCAATTTGTGTTATTTTTATATACTTGTTTAAAAATTAATAAAAATCATTTTAAAAAGAGAAAGCATGGATATGTCCATAAAGTCATCAAGAGTTAAGCTCATCTCAGATACATGAGATACATGTCCAAGGAAAGCTTTTTAATTACATGTTATACACACTTTTATTTTCACCACAGCACTTTCTCTTAGGGATAGAGTCTTCCTCAAATAAATGTCTCTTTCTTCTGTCAATGAGAAAGCTATAGAAACATTTTGGGAATGTTTGTTAAGGCATGAGGTTCCCGCATCCATAGATTTGAATAGCAAGATGGCTGACATATAAATTTAACAAATAAATAAAATTATAGCAGGATATCTCTAATGCCATATTTTCCTGTCTTGAAGATTATATTTGTTGCTCTGAAGGAAGTCAGGGTCCATCCAGCAAGGGGCACTGCTCTTTCAGCTTTTTTTTTTCTACCAATGTTCTCTTGAGTAATAAATATAATGCACTACAGGGGATTATTTTCTATTGTTAAAGATGTTCTTTAAATTGTTGCATAATTTTAACTCCTACCCGTCTAGGATCTGCTCTTGTATATCTTAGGAAAATGGGACACTGCACTTATTGGAAAGATTCTATTTTCCACATTGGAAAGGGAGTTTCCAACTTCCTTTGGTGAAATAAGGACTACCATTGCATTAAAAAAAATCTGAATTTTCTTTGAGCTGCTATCACTCTTTGAATCATAACTAGAATGAAAGGGATGGTTCCGTCTCCTCCTGGCACTCAAGAAATTATTATAAATATTTCTATCCTTCCTTCAGAAATGAATGTGTGGAGCTTTTTTATATTTTTTATATATAAATATATATATTTATATTTTATATCCTCCAATAGTTATCAATATCTGCTCAAATTTATAGCAAGTCCAATATTCCATTCTGAATTGGATGCATCCAAAGAAGAAATGCTGACTTTTTCATGTTCCCCATATATTCATAATTTGTGTCTGCTACACAGCCAAGGTTAGAGTAGAGTGGAAAGAAAAGTATCAACCTTCTGTAAGTTTTCTATCTCTATGAAAAGCAGGATTCATGCCTTCCAACTGCCATGGCTACCCCAACAAAGCCATTTATTGTAAATAGTGTTAAATTTCAGGTACTCTTCAACTTGCAAACCATTCATTTAGTGATCATTGTAAGTTACAACAGCACTGAAAAAAGTGCATTATAAACAACTTAACAACTGTTACAGCATCCCCATGATCATGGGATCAAAATTTGGATGCTTGGCAACTGGCATGTATTTATGACAGTTGCACTGTTCTCATGTCATGTGATCACCCTCTGTAATCTTCCCACTGGCTTCCCAGAAGCAAAGTCAATGGGAGAAGCAAGATTCACTTAAAACAGCGGTCTTCAAACTGGCTGAGGAATTCTGGGAGTTGAAGTCCACAAGTCATAAAAGAGTCAAGTTTGAAGACCCTTGACTTAACATCTGTGGCAAAAAAAAAAAAAGGCCGTAAGTGAGGCAAAACTCATGAAAGAACTGCCTTGTTTAGCAGTGGATATTTTGGACCCTATTGAGATCACAAGTCGAGGACTACCTGTGGCTGGTTGAATTTGTAATCAATAAAGCTTTGCAGATTGATGTATGCATGTATTTTCGTACAGGTTTTGTTGTCTAATCCTGTTCTGAACAATGCCGTGAACCTGGAGGCAGCTCAAATGCTGAGAAAAAATTATCACCTATACAGAGAAAAAGTTGTACAGTGTGTCACAAATAGCAAGCAGCTCGAAGGTAATAAATGCTTGTGCTTTATGTTATTAGTTGTAGATAAATTCTTTCTGCACGATGGGGAGTTTTAGAAGAAACTATTTGAATTGCATTCTTTTTAAAAAAACACTATTTTATATCCACTGTCATAAATTTTAATTAGTATCCTTGGCAATGTAACCTGAGCTGCAAGATGAAATTTTTCTCATTGATATCTACCACTCTGATCCAGTAAAGGCAGGCAGCCAGAGGAGAGAGAGGGAGATGTGTACATGCAGGTAGTCCTCGACTTACACTTAGCGATTGTTCAAAGTTATGGCTACTAAAGTTCCAATAGCTGCCCCCTTCCACACTTCTGTGACTGCATGTTGGGCGCTCAGCAACTAGCCTTCATTTATGGCTGTTTGCAGAATCCTGCAGTCACGTGACTGTCGTTTATGACATCTTTGCCGAAGAGTGGCATTTACTTCCAGTTTTTGGCAAAAACAGCCCATAGTGAACAATGGTTTCACTTTATGACAGTGGCGTTTACTTTACAACTGCCATGTTAACTTTATAACTATCATGTTTGCTTAGCGATTGCCACAAAAAAGGTCATAGAATCCGGTTGGTTCGTGGGTGATCCGCTTTACAACGATCATTAAAACAATAATGGGGAAGTCCCATTATGGTCATAAGTCAAGAACTACCTGTATATGCTTTTGGGTAACCCCACAGCTGAACCAGAAATAAAAGGTCTTAGCTGCCAAAACTGTGGAATTGGATCCAGAGCTTCATGAGCATTAGAACTGCTAATAAGTTATTCTGCCAGTAAGATCAAATAAAGTATTATCTCCACATAATGAGTCTGTATAATTTAAATTATTGTAACCGTACCTCCTTATAGTTACTAATCCTATCGCTGTTGTGACAACAGTATCATTTCAGCGCTCACCTCATATTTAAAAATATTCTTTTCATTACTGGTAGTAAAGCCACTGGAATCTTCTAGTTGCGATTATGTGTGGCTCAATAAAGTCTTTGTTATTTTACAGTATTGGACTATAAAATGTTCACAACAAATAGGCATTTTTAAAACTTCTTTTCTTGTCCAGCTATTGCCAAAGATTGGGATACAACTTCAATCAAGTTTTATGAAAAATCAAAAGAACCGAGCTCGCACAGGTATGACACACCGTTAAGCTCACAAATGTTGTAATGCTATAAATTATTATTTGAATACCTGAATAATTTATATGTGCTTTGAAAAGCAGCATTTCATCTGGAAGTAAAATTTTCTAGCAGTGTTAGTATAAAGTCATACCGTGTTTCCCTGAAACTAAGACCCAGACAGA